GCAAAGCCAACGCAACAAGTATTTCCCATACAGCAGGCAGCTTAAATTGTACAAAGAGAGAGAGTTTTATTGAATAGGAATGAAACATAAAGGCAGTGAAAACTGTTCTCTACAGTAAAATCACTAAATCAACACAGGCTTTATTAAGTGAAAATATTACTATATTTTTGTGAAAACAATTTTCCCCTTAGAATAAATGGAAAAATTCAGAGGGAAAAAAAAATCCATCATTTAATTTGCCTATTGGGTTCTTTGCTAATTGCTGATTCATATATATATATATATATGTATATGTATATGTATATGTATATGTATATATATAAGCAGAGATCTGTATCAATTAAGCAGAGCATGAAAACATTTCCTTAAAACAATTCAACAGTTTGTTAAAACAACCTGTACATATCAGGAACTCACGGGAGGCATATCTCATTAAAATAAAGTTATAGTCAGCATCCAGCATAATAGTTTTTAAGAGGAGAATAATAGCAATTGGTTTTTGAAGAAATTATCTATATAAAATTATGTCATGTGTTGAAAAAATGCTGAAATTTGGAATATAATATTTGCAATATATTCATATATTTGGAATATAATTTAGAATATAAATATCTAATATATAAATGTAGGCTATAATAGTAGATTAATATAATGTAATCAGTAAGATCATAACAAGGCAATTAAGTGGCTGGAACTAGAGCAGTTTGTTGCTTTTTCTTTCTTTTTTCTGGATTTATAACAAAATGAGAGATACTCTTCAGATATTCAGCATCTTTGAATTTCTGTTTCCTGCAAGCAGACGGAATATACATGCTGCCTCCTATGGCCTGGTTGTGATCACCCTGAAGAGGCAAAAATGGCCCCTGAGAGCCTTTCTGGGTTTGTTCCCCGGGGGGGGGGGATTCAGCCCATTTCTTATGTCCCATGTAGTTGAACGATGGGTTTGAAAAGAGCCCCAGCTTCTCAAAGCTTCCCTGACCTGATTTGTTTGAGGTTCCCCTGTAAGGAATTTCCAGGCTATTTTGGTCTTGAAAGACAGGCAGTGGGTAGGGAAAAAAGGCTCCAGCTCTTTCAGGGAGCATAACGGCACCTGGGACTCGGCTCCAGAATACCTGTCAGTTGCCGTCATTCCTCTCCCCAAATTGTTTTTCCAACGTTGACTCTTCCATTCAACCTTTGGCTTAACTACGTAGGGCAATCTTCCATGTGCTAACTTGGAGACAGTTCCTACAGTAGAATATAGAACAAGAGGGTTGGAAGGGACCTTGGAGGTCTTCTAGTCCAAACCCTCTACCATTCTGGACTAATGACTGTACAGTCTCTTCTTGAAAACCTCCAGTGATGGAGAAGTTTCTCCTTGGTTCCAGGTTGCTTTTCTCCTTGATGAGCGTCCATCCGTTCCTTCGTGCCCTGCCTTCAGGTGCTCTGGAGAATAGCCTGGCCCCCTCTCGTCTGTGACAGCCTTTCTCTCGGGTACTGGAGGAGTGCTGTCAAACATATTCGCATCGAAACATCTCTGAGGGGTCCTTCATTTGAGCAAATCTGCCTTGGTCAAGCCGAGTGCCCACCTCTTTCACCACCATTCTTCATTTCAGTCCCATCCTCTTTGTGTGGCTTCTCCATCCTTTAATTTTTAAGACACCAGGAGACAGGATGATGACAGCGGCAGATTTGAGAATTCTGGGTTTCTTACAAGCTGGGGTAAGGCACACCCTCCCCTTGACACAGCTTTGGTCTTTCTCCTTGCCAACTATTTATAAGGAAGAAGCTCTAAGTCAGAAAGAGAATGCATTTCTATCTTGTTCTTTGTTCTTTATGATAAGGAAAAGAACCTATCCAATTATAGTTATATACAAAAATCCAAAGTATTTCTCACAGACAATAATCACAAAATAATCAAATAGATTCTTAAGCACAAGCTTAAAAATAAACAAGGAATTTACATCTCCAATTTACTTGTCTGCCGTTCCTAGGACTTAATGTATAGGTCTGCTTTGTTTTTTAAAAGTAATGCTGCTTTCGGGGGGGGGGGCACTTTTTTGTGCTTTACAGCTCAGCTAATGATATTTTAAAATTAAAGATGGGAATGAGATGCCTTCCTTCCCTGAGACGGAGAAGTGAAGGGCACCTGTTAAATATTTGCCCCCCTTTCATTCTCTTTGAAATAGACATGAGTTCATTAATTAGAGAGATCAAAGGAAATTCATCCAACTTTGATCCCGATTTATATAAACTCCTCATTTCAAACAGGGATATGGGTGGAAGAGAAGAAGAGTGAATAAGTACAAGCAACAGCCCTTATACACAATGCCTTCGTACCACTTGGGTTGTTGTTTCCAGATTTGTGTGATGTCACAGTGGGGGCTATTTAGGGAGGCTTCTGACTTTCTTCTGTTTCTCTCTGGATTTGGAAATTGCAAAAAAGTTCCCCTCCCAGTTGGAATTGTTGAATCTGCAGCCCTTCTGGGTGATTGATTTCCTCATCGGTGGAAACGACGCCTCTTCGTGCCTCCCTCAGCTGAGCTCCAAAGCCGCCCTCCATGGGTCCCACCCGTACAGGCCGGGTCTCCGGCTGCTACGACTAGTCTCTTCCTTTGCTTACAGCCGGTATCCTCTCCCCTCCAAACTGACCCAGGCTGATTTAGCAACACACAACCCCGGTCACAGCTTTGGGGAAGATGTCTGGTTGCAAAAACTGCCTCCATACCACAATGACATCCACGCCATTTGCAAAGTTTATAAAGGCAAGAGCAGAATTGGGGGCTTGGCCACCAGAAGCGCCAGCATCTGCCAGGGTCAAAGCAGGCAAAATGATGGACACGCCCCTGGGTCTCCTACGTTGCCTTTTCAGCCCCTGTGCAAACGCCCCTGACCAGGACGGGCCTCCCACAGGGACCACGACTTCATTTGTGGTGCTGAAAGTGAAGTTGTTATGGGTGGATACAAAGTCATCTAATCTGATAACAAAACAGGCTGCATTCACATCAGTGATGATCTTGATGGTTCCACGCTTGAAGGGTAACTTGATGTATCCTAGAATGTAGAATAGAATAGAGCTGGAAGGGACCTTGGAGGTCTTCTAGTCCCGCCCTCTGCTCAAGCAGGAGACCCTGTACCATTTCAGACAAGTGGCTGTCCAGTCTCTTCTTGAAAACCTCCAGTGATGGAGCAGCCACGGTTTCTGAACGGCAAGTTGTTCCACTGGTTCATTGTCCTCACTTAGGAAGTTTCTCCTTAATCCCAGGTTGCCTCTCTCCTTGATTGGTTTCCATCCATTGTTTCTTGTCCTGCCCTTCTGGTGCTTTGGAGAAGAGGTTGACCCCCGCCCCTCCTCCTCTTCTTTGGGGCAGCCCCTCAAGTGCTGGAATGCTGCTATCATTCCCTAGTCCTTCTTATTTCTAGACCAGCCAAACCCAAATCCTGCAACCGTTCTTCGTATGCTTTTGTCTCCAGGCCTTCGATCATCTTAGTTGCTCTTCTCTGCACTTTTTCCCAAAGTCTCAACATCTTTTTTGTAGTGGGATGACCAAAATTCGTTGCAGTATTCCAGATGGGGCCTTACTAAGGTTTTATAAAGTGGTACTAATAACTTCACGTGATTTTGATTCTATGCTTCTGTTTATACAACCCAGGATTGCATTAGCATTTTTGGCTGCTGCCACACACGGCTGGCTCATATTCAAGGGATCATCCACTAGGACTCCCAGGCCCCTTTCGGAGTTTGAGCCAGGTTTCGCCTAATCTCTACTTACTCCATTGGTTTTTCTGACTAAATGTAAAACTTGCTTTTCTCCACTTTAAAATTCATTTTGTTGGAAAGGGCCCGTTGTTCAAGTCTGTCGAGATCTTTTTGGATCCCGAGCTTGTCTTCGGGATCCAAATTCTTGTCTCCTGCCTCAGCACATATGGAATTTCAACCTTCTTAAGGCATTGGTGTTGTCATGTAGGTAGGTGGGAGTTCTGGTGGCATAAGGTCTGTGTCCATGAAATCCCGGAAACCAGAACATCCACCTGTGACGGTTGAGACCATGAAATGCCTCAGGGGCCTGAGAAGTGGAGGTAGGGTGTCTCCAGCTAGGTGTGGACTTGTATGTCCTTAGGAAACTTTCATCAGATTGCAAGGCCTCTTCCTGATGTGCTGCTGCAGGATCTGAGGACAGAAGTTGCTAGAACGTTGCTTCTTAGCTTCCTTGATTCACCAGTATTCATACTGATAATTATCCCTGTTTATTCACTTTGTTTAATTATGACTTCATTGTTCTTGAGGCCTTGGACGGCCCCTCATTCTGCACCACTGAGATGGCTGGGCGATGGGATTTCTTTTATTGGCGTTTGTGTCTCCAACTATTGATCTATAGTTTACAATAAACCATGGGTTACGACAAGGGAAAGGCCAGTCCATCCCAGATTTACAATCTTAAAATGGTGCCTCTTCATTTCCTGCTTTTGAACAGGCTTTCCTTTGGGGCAGAAAAACCTGAACCATCTTATTCTGTGAAGTCAAAGTGTAATCTGTACTTAAAGATTGAAACTTTTCACATTTTCTCTTTCTTTTTCTTTTCTCCTTTCTCCCTTTCTCCCCTTTTCTGTTTTTTTCCTTTATCTGTTCCTTTTCATAGAAAATGAGCAAAGGAGAATTAATATTATGTGTTTAACTACTAAATGATTTTTTCCTCTAAGAAAGGCATTTTTTAAAAAAGTGGTGGTAATTTTTATAAAATTATTACTTAATAAACCGGTCCGTCGGATTTTCTTTTTCTGCATGGGTGGAAATGGAGGGAAGAGAGTTAAATCTTTACTTAAAATATCTGGATGACGCATTTCAGAATATGCGCAATGGAGTGGGAGGGCAGGTCCTCCACCATCTTAGCGTCTCAACCTGGACACCAGAGGGTGTCATGTATTGTTCTGACTAGATAACACATCTGACACATCTATTACCTTTGATGGTTTTTGTTCTGCAAGTATCTCTTCTAATACTCTGTGTACTTTTTTTAAAGGATCATCTCTTTCATCTAGAAGCTCACCGATTAGAGAAAGGAAGGGGCAGATGTCCATATGCACCAAGTTCTTCCTTCATGTCCACTTTATATGGTAATAACCTAAGAACTCTTTTCCATTCGCACCCACTCTCTATTCCATTTCTAAATGCATCCGTTCCCTTCTGGTTTACTTATGTCGGGTTCTGTTGGATTCACTCACAGAGTCTCAGAGTTGGTCTGCCACCCGTCTCGCCTGTTGCATCACGCTGGGGAAACGTCGGCTGTTCTTCAGGCATTGTTACCCTGACTGGCTGTATTATTGCAATCCATTATTGTTATCTGTCACGTAATCTATTCTGAATGTGGGAGAAATCCCGGCCCCTTGTTTCAAGAATTCTCCTTTGGAAATTCAGTCCAAAGCCTACCAGGAATGGAGGCTACGGATCTAAACATGCTTCTCCATAACAGGAAGCTGCCCAACGTTCATTCCTGCACTTTATGCAGAACTCATTCACAGATCCCTTTAGCAAACTCACAGTGTCGTTTGGAAATGTTGAGACAATGCCCATCCTATATTATACTGTATTAAGATTGTCCAGCGCAAAAGGCACCTTTGGAACCATTTGGGCTAAGATAGGATTCGTTCCAAGCTATCAATACAGGCAGGGCAGTGAGCCGCCCTTCATTGCGGGCCCATGCGCTTGAATCTAGGCCAAGCTCAGAAAAAACATGGCCCAGCGAGAGGGGCAGGTAGCCATGGTTGGGGCTGGATGGCCTTAAGCCAGCATGGCACCCCCATCTCCAGAGGAGACCGCAACCACAGAAGAGGGAGCTGGGCTTCAGCTATACTTGCACAGGCCTTTTGAGACAAGTTCAAGATGGCTGCTCTTTTAGTGCTCATCTAATTCTAGTACAAACAGTTTAGAGCTTATCAGTTTTGTTTTCTCACAGAGAAAAACGGGGTAGAAAATGTGTCCTCACAGAGGCTCCTAGAAATGTCTTCTCTTCTTTCATTCTAGTTTAGTGTAGGGAAAAGTAAGCACAGAGAGTCAACTCAGAAGAAGAGGGAAGATTTTTCTTTAATCTCACCTATCAGGTTTTGTCCATTCAAGCCATCCATCCACACATTGGGATTTATTTCGGACGCTTGGTGCACACAGATGCTGAACACAGAGCCTCTCTGAAGCCCCTTCAAGCTTTTTCTGGGGTTTCACAATGTTTCCCAAAGTGTAGTCGTTGTTTTAAAGAGCTCCAGACAGGTTTGTGTGTTCCAAAATATTGTTTTAGAATTGAGTCCAAAGTACTCAACAGCAGGACAATCAATAGCCTCATGGCACGCGTTGCCAATTTAAAAGACATTGCATGCATTTATCTTTTTTTTTTAAGAAGCCTCGTGATTCAGAGTAACTTTCACTGAAATGTCTGCACTACAGCAGAAAAAAATGCAATATAATCTGGTTTTGTGGTTTTGTGTGCCTTAAATTAAAATATTGGGCAAACTCCAATCAAACTTAAGCTTTCCTAAAATGAAATTATTTTAATGGATGAAATTTAAGCACAAATTTTCCTCCGTAACAGAGAAGACTTAAATTGTGCTCCTTCCCTACCACTTTTATTTTGTTTGGTTGCTCGTTTAATGTTTTCTTGTGAATTAGCTTCAGTTTTTGGAGAGATTATTTGATACTAAGGAAAAACAGCAAGGAACAGTTTCTACTTTTGAATGAATAAATTCTGAATGACGATCAGAAAACAGAATAAGTTTTCAACCATGGCTAATGCTATATAAAAATGTTAAATGATTGGACATATTCCATAAATAATTTTATGACTCAGATGTCTAAAACAAATGAATTCTCCAGTCTGCTTTCCATAAAACAACTTCCTACATTGGAATGGAGCTGGCTGGCGGGTTAGCAAAGACCACACGGGTTAAAGAAAGAAAGAAAGAAAGAAAGAAAGAAAGAAAGAAAGAAAGAAAGAAAGAAAGAAAGAAAGAAAGAAAGGCTGTGTTCTTTAGGCGGATGGCTTTTGACAAAGGCTGGTTCTCTCATTGGCCTCCTTTCTCCTCCGGGATTTTCAGCTGCTGGGACTGGGGAGTAAGTGGTGTACCAGTGGTGGCAGGGCATCCCGTTGTTTCCAGCTACTGGGGAGGGGGTCAGGGTGGGTATTCTGGAAGGGGGGAGCAAAGAAGGTTGGGGGGCCTAGATTCCCAGCCAGTCCCTGAAGGCTTGAAAGACGTCCCATTGCCCAGCTAAATCAAGCAGGTACCCAGACGAAGCTGCACCCATGTGGGAAGGCGCTGGAGATGAAAGGGGCCGTTTCATACTGAGAGGAGGGAGGGGACCCTGCTGCGTTTCCCCAGGGAGAGGCTTTGTACGTTGATGGACAGCCCAGTGCCAGGCAGGGTCTCCCGTCAGTCAGGTGTCACTCAGTCAGCAACTGAGAAAGAACTGAGGATCTTCCAGGGCCGTGACGGTGAGGTGGCTACATTCAAGGCTTCAAGTCAGCCAGACCCTCCTGAGGAAAGGCTGGAAGGATGTAGCAAAGACGCATGGAAACGGGGAGGAGATGTTTCTTTTTTTCAAATGGTGTTGAGTAAATATAATCAGAGGCTGTTATCACTACTACACCAAGGTGTCCTCGTTGAAGAAAGATCTAGTCCTGTATGTCGATTGATATTTCAGTGTTCTAGAAAATGCTTGATCAGACCATTCTGGGTGAGCACAGACATTCTCACTGAAAGTAGATCTACGGCCAAGTAAATACAACATTATTAATTATAGACCTCTAAAAATCCTACTACTGAAAAAGTGCTGACTCTTGTGCCTTGAAGAAGAAAATTGCCAGTAAAAATGAGTTTGAAATACAGTTGCATCTTTTCTAAAGAGCTGAACTGCATGTTAAATTTCTCAATCGATCATTTAACGCTTGAAATGGGCAATTAGTTATATTTTTTATTAGCTAGCTATTTGTGGAGATGGCTGCAGTTACTGAAAAGTTTCAAGAGATGTTTGGTTTGTTATCTTTGGGTTTCCCAACCCCAGAAAGAAAACGCAGCTTCCTCCAGAAAAGTCAGAATAAAGATGGCCACTTGTGGGCCACCAAGACGGGAGACCTTTTGGCCTTTGGAGGAAGCGGTGGCTCAAGCTCCTGGAAGAGGCCAGGAGCGCCCACAGAGAGCTGGCACCACCAGGGAAGGCCAGGGATGTCAGATCAGGCTAAAGAAGCCCCAAACTATAGAGCAGGGAAATCACAGGTATGCAATAGTGTAGATAATAGAGATAGGCAGAAAATTTTATTTTACAAAGACACACACACACACACACACACACACACACTAGTCTAGGCAGCAATACTACAAGGTAAGAATCTAGAACAGAGAGAAAATTCTCTTGCAGAGACTGAAATGACAAACGGTTTCTGAATCTGCTGTGGAAGCCTGGGAAAGACACAGCTGCTTTCATGAGTCATAAGAGAAAAGCTTCAGATTCCTATGGAAACCAAAGGTTTTTCCTCTTATGTGGGCCTGTTTTCAGATATCATGAAAAGCTAGTCTGGGGGAGTCCATTGATTGGAATCCTGCTGGCTAAACAATCTGGGTCATAAGGCTAAGCACACACACACACACACACACACACAAAACTTCTGTATTTCTGTAGATGTCAAGGTTATATCTTCTAAAGCTGAGAATTAGAGAATGTGATTACATAATTATTTTACCGACTCTGCCATGAAGTACCACCTCAGTATGAGCTGCTGAAATTTATTTTGTATGCTAATATTTTACTTAGCTTCAGGACCTCATAAGTTTGAAAACAATATTTATTCAGTATTAAGCAAAACCTAAGAAATAATAATACATTTATGGATGGAAATAAATTTCAGAGTCTACCTAGTAGAGAGTTTAAATTATTCAAGTCATTATTTAAAATCATAGCATAACTGTTTTCAAATTGACATAAACCAAAATTAAATCCATCCTTCTTGGCAAGTAAAATTTAAAAAAATGTGTTTGTTTTCCTTCAAGTTTAGAAAAGGAAGAAAATAAATATATGATTGTGAGAGAAGACCATTCTTTCTGTATGGGAAATACAGTATATTCTTTCCACTATTTTGTGGCTTGGCTGCCATCTAGCGGTAAATGTAAATGTTTTGATTCCACGGATATCTATATTTTAAGAAATGAATCAGTGACCTATACATAATCTTTACTGCCCTTAGCTTACATTAGGAAAAATATAGAGTCTAAATATTAGATTACTGAATCTCTTCCATATCTCTAGTTACTCACTTGTATAATATCCCACTATTATATATTAAATATTTGTTTTGAGGTCATAGCATACAGTATTTATATCAACATCAAACAGGCTTTCCCACATATCTGTAAAGTTTGGAGTTACAAGATGGGTTTGATTGCTGCCCTGTGTTAGGAGAACCTGAAGAAATAGAAGCATCCACTGACTCCTTTCTGCTAGCCTGGATTTCAATATGCAACCGTTCTTGTTGACCGAAGATGCTGGGCCATTCTGGTACTCGACTGAAGTGCCACACGCCAGAAGTCATTTGGGGCACAGATGTCTTTGTGGTAAAGAGGGCCTGCAGAGTGTGGCTGCCCTGACGAAGAAGGAGCGTGTCTGGGGTTGGAGAAGAAGGTTGAGGGGCAGAGCAGCAGGTGCCAGGAAGGACCCCGGAGAGGGAGGGAGGGAGGGAGAGGGGGGTGCCTCTTATCGGGCCTAGGCAGACTCCCCAACCCGCCTCCTACCCTGCCTGGCCTGGACTCAACTCACGGGCCAGACCAGGAGCAGAGCTGGGGATGTCTCAGTTTGGGCATATTTGGGCCAGCGTACCCAAATGGGCTCACAATCACAGCCTGCGATACAGGATTTCTAAACTTGACTTCACCCTGCAAGGCGCAGACAGACACACCCGCAGGGGGGCGCTTCCGCTGAGGAGGACACTTCCATGCTGGGGTCAAGGGAAGCCCACGCCTGGGGCTATGCAGTCAATAGGAATTGAGCCAGGCTTGCTGGAGGCCTTCCTTAACTTCCTCCCATGGTCTCTTTGGTCTTCAGAAAATGAACTGTTTACTGGACTCTACAGTGACTACTGGGGGAGAGACGCCGCCATTTTCCGCCTGATGGGCCGCCTGGCTCACATCCGGACTGAGCCTGACGATGAACGGCTGCTGAAAGGTACAAAGGGCTCTAAGTAATCACGACAGTGATGAGGACCAAAGCTGTTTCAGGGCAACAGGTTGGCCTCCGCTTGTGTGGAGCCTCTGCCGTAGGTCTTCTCCCCCAAAGCAGGGTGGTCAGCCCTTACGTTGTCGTCACAGAGACGGGCCGTGATACAAGTTATTTTAGAGAGGTTCATAATCTCGTGTGGGACAATGCAAGTAGAAGTCACGCTTTGCAACTGGAATTGCAATTGGAATCACACTTTGCAATTAGAATTAAGCAGTTTCATCCATCCCATATCTCACTGTCTCTTTAAGAACCTAAATTTGTGAGTTCCCACATGATTCCGGACAACGAAGACCGGGAAGACAACAAGGTGTATTTCTTCTTCACCGAGAAAGCGTTGGAGGCAGAAGCAGCTGCCCAGGCTCTCTATGCCAGAGTGGGCCGAGTCTGTGCGGTAAGAAACACTTCTATGGCCATCAACTGGGATTGGCTGCTTTTTTATTTCTTCCTTCTTTCCTTTTTCTGCTGTATATTTAATTCAGCTTTTCCCAGCTGGACTCCCATCAGATAGGTTGGGCTTTTTAGTTCTAGAACGGGTGAGCCTCTGTTTGTTGGTATAATCCCCAAGAAGGGAGATTTAGGAAAGCTGGAATGAAGTAAGAAAACTTTCTTTCTCTCTCTCTCTCTCTCTCTCCCCACCCACAAGCCAAGCTTGGATTGTGAGTCCAGCCCAGTCTCAGTATCAGCCATCCCAACGGCCACCCACCTCAGTGTGACTCTGGCAGACCTCCGTTAGGCTCGTAGCGGGTGGGCATCAGAGAAGACACCAGGGGCAGCCTAGAAAGAAGCCCCTTTGAAAGAGAATGGAAAGAAAAAGCCGCCCCTTGTGTGTAGAACTGAACGCAAAGTCCGTGTCTGCGCCTTGTTTGAATTCCAAAGCTCCATTTTGTATTGCGGTGGCCCGAACAGGTCGGCCGATCCCACCAGCTTCCCACCCCCTATCTGCCTCCTGCCTCTGCTCAGCTGAGGGGGGTCTCTGAGGCTCACGAGGGGCCCCTCCAGCATCCCCCGTTGGTCCCGCGAGAGATTAGAGGTGCCCCTTTTTAGCTTTCAAGCCTCACCAACACGCACCTCCTTCTGGGAACCCTTGCCTGCAGGGCCTCCGCTCGGCTGTGACCACTAGGGTGTCGTCTGAGGGAGGTAACCTTTACTTCCATACAAGACACTGACTGGAGGGTTGTTGTTGTTGCGCTTTTTCAACTTTTGTGCATGTGTGCAGTTTGTGTTAGTTTGTGGTCTGGTGCTTTGCACTGAGCCAGAAGGGATGGACGGAGTCATGTTGTGTAAATGCACAACTTGGCGGAGTCTGAGAAAGGCCTTCCTTGCCTCCCTCCTTCTGCTCCTCAGAATGACATGGGAGGACAAAGGATGCTGGTGAACAAGTGGACCACTTTCCTCAAAGCCAGGCTGGCCTGTTCGGTCCCAGGGATGAATGGCATCGACACGCACTTTGACGAGTTGGGTGAGTGACGGGGTTGCAAAGGCCAGGAAGGCAGAGCCCTCAGAGTCATCATAGTTGCCTCACTGCGTTTCAATATTTCATGACAGGAAGGTCATGTTAACCATAATAAACAACAAACCATGGCTTCATGCAGCCGCCATAGTGGCAAGGTTCACACCTTGGGCAACAATGTCACCTGCTTGGTTTTGGCTTAGCGTTATGTCTGAATGGGGCCAGTGTGGCTTTTTCAGCAAACATTGGTTGAAATAAACCCCAGTTCCAAATAATGTGTGAACCAGTTTCAATTGGCATATTTTCTTCTTCCAGTTCAGTATCACAGAAGAGTCAGGAAGCTCTCTCTCCTGTTTTTAATTAGCCACAGCAGTAATAAATCTTCTCCTTCACCTTGCAATTCCAACAGAACACGAGACTGACCCAGCCTGATGCCCAAACTGGGGTCAATAATAACCCTACCCTAGAATTAAGCACGTGAAATTATTGCTTTGCTAGGTAGTATAAAGGAGCCATTTGTGTATTTATTTATGTATATTGTTAAAATATCTAATTTTAGTGCAAGTTAAACTGCCATTTTTCCATTTTTGCAGAGGACATATTTTTGCTCCAGACTCGGGATAGCAAAAACCCGGTGATATTTGGACTCTTCAACACTACAAGGTGGGCAGATATGATGTGGGAATGTCATGAAGACCCTGATGTACAGTCCACAAGACCCCCCACCCTACCCGTCCCCTTAGCAAACGAACAAGGCAATTAGGTGATAGTGATACAAAAATGAGCTTATATAATACACTAGGATTTAGTCCTGGACAATAAAAGGGTTGGAATGGGGCTAATGGCTTATAACCTGTAGGCAGAATCTTGTCTCATGAAGGGGCGCCTGAAGAGGGTCCAGGTTGAATTTTCTCTTTAGGGGATCCCAGATCCCAGCCATCCCTGCTCTGGTTCTTGCCTTTCATACCAAAAGAAGTGATTGCAGCCCTCGATTTAGGCAGATACATTTGACAGGATGCTCTTCAAAGCAATCTGCCCATTTCTCCCTGCCTCTCTTTTCTCCCTTCCTTCTTTTCAAGAATAAAACCAGCAATGCACATTAATACACATTTTGGAACACTCAAGAAACAGGCAATTACGTGTTCCTTTGAAACACTAAACAATGTTCATAGCAACCCAACACTGTTGGCTGAGAATTAAATGCCGGCTGCCTGAGGAAGCCCTCAGGGCTGCCCCGCTCACCAACAGAGGAAAACTGGAAACAGGGACACCGTTGTCCTTTGTCGCCACTTCTCTGGCACCGAAGCTCCCTGACTTCCCTCTCTTCCAGTAATAGAGACTGCTTACAGGGAGCAGCCCTGGACACGGCGGAAGGGAAGGGCGTCCAGCAGCTTCCACTCCTGAGAAGGCCTGAGCGAGGGCTTCCCAGGGGGAGGGGGAAGCAGGCGTGGCCATGTTGCAACACAAACTGTCCTGCTCGGCTACTGCCTGGGCAGGTCCTTCTGTGGGAATTGTCCGTGGCACAAGGAGACTGGAGAATGGTGAGGGAGCGAGCCGAGGTTGAAGCCGCTGCTCTACAAAATGGTTACGTAACAAGAAGCTTTCCAGCAAGGACTTTCAGGCCTTCATAACCTCCTCCCCTTTTTGCTTTGCAGCAACATATTCCACGGATACGCGGTCTGTGTCTATCACATGGCCAGTATCCGGGCGGCTTTCAACGGACCCTACGCTCACAAAGAAGGGCCTGAATATCACTGGTCTGTGTACGAAGGCAAGGTGCCCTACCCGAGACCTGGGTCGGTGAGTTTTCGGTGTGGGCAAAGGGGTTTCTTCCCCTTCGAGAGAGACGAACGTTCCCTGCTTGAAATGGCAGGAATGGAAGCGCCCCGCACGGTGTTTCTGTGCAGGTGCTTTGCTGACTGCACTGAAGTTGCCGAGATTTGCTTTTAGAAAACTTGGCCCTAATCAGCTCAGCCTCCACTGACCTCGCAAACCAAGGTCTGTTACAGCAGGAAGAAGCCACAGTGGCCAGTTGCACAATCAGAAGTTTGGTTTATTTTTTATTTTAAAAGAGGTGTGAAACTACATTATATCTTATTCAGCAAACCACCATTTTAAATGAAATTTGACAATTTATTTATCTGCTCATTTTCCCAGTTTAGCTACAAGAAAGCAATGGGAAGCATTTTCATCTTCGTTTTTGAATTAAGGATGACTATTTTTCCTAATTCATAATCTCATCCTTGCAGAAATACAGAGAAATTTTGCACTGAAGAAAGAAGGACCTGTTTGCCCAGTCATTGTAGATTCTGCAAATCTTCTACCTAAATGTTCTATCTAAGTACCCCATTCTTATTGAAGAAGTTCAGTCACAGCAGGCCTGCGGTTAGCCAACACCCTGACGTTCACTGAGCTGTATGCCTCGGCCCAGTGAAGTTGAACAACTCAGTTGTACCAACTGAGGTGCGAAAGTGAGAAGAAACCGTGGCAGGCCTGCAACTGATTCTAAATATTGATCCGTTCTGGACTAGAACTCTCACTTGAGCAGTTGTTGAAATCACTCAAACCCATCAGCATAATTTTTTGAAACCCAGAGTGGAGATTTTGAAATTACTGAATAATATGAGCGAACTACTTGTGTGGAATATGATGACCTAGTTATATTTTATAAAATATAGCACACAAACATACACCCCCAGCTGAATGTCACATGCTTAAATCTTTCTGAGACAGACTTTTTCAGCAGGATTTGGCCTTCAACTGAGTCAATCTGCAAACAAACCCAGACCCTTAAACGTCTGTGGAGAGCCACAACTTCTGCCTTTTATGACAAGCAGCTGATGGAAATTCTGCTGCTGGCTGATGAGAAAATTAATTTTCAAACCATCAAAGAGTCCAAGCAAATAGTGCAGAAGAGCTCAGTCCCAAGAAAAGGAAAATTAACCCTGCCCCATTGGACGAGCGTTGGAGTTTATGATTGTCAATTATAGTCTTGCTGCAAGTTAAAAACGAATGTTTCCAGTAAACATAAAGAGTATTTGATTTCACTTTATTGATTGAAAATCCCATCTCAGCGGGGAGAGTCTGCTACTGAGGCTGGGTGTGGAATGAAAAACCACCCTGCTTTTGAGGTATGGATGAAGGAAATGACCGCTCGGCTCTTTCAAGCAGAATCCCAAAGGGTCCCAATTAAAGAGCCCGGAAGGGCCCAGGTGGGCTAAAGCACAGTGTCCTCTCCGGTTGCTGAAGGAGTTAAAGGCTTCCTGTCCAGAAGAGCCCCTGGTTTAGCTGCTCATGAGGCCGGGGTGCAAACAGGGCTTACTTGGGAGTCAGCCCCAACCTCCGGCCCCAATTGAATGACTTTTAAGTCGACACATACAAGACAGCAGCATGAGCTGATTTGCTCATTAAGTCAGCCAGCTTGCTTGCTTGTTTCTTATTGACTCATTACATTTATACCCACAGACTTCCAGTGGTCTACAACAATAAAGAGCATCAAAGAAAGACAAATGCAAGCCCATTAAGTGGTCAATTTCATTAAAAAAAAAAGAACCTCAGTCGTCCACACTAGGGGGTCTTGTGGGCTCCGGTTGCACCCAGCAACAATTCCTCAGCCTGGCCTCTGGGTCTGTGATGACCCAGGGTAGGATACAGAAGCAACAAAGTCACAAAAACAGGTGAAGTCCCTTTAAAATTCCTTTAATTTGGCTTCAAAGGTCCAATTACCATTGACCCCCACAAACAGTTGCGAAAAGGAAGAACTGTTCAAACTCAAAATACATATAAACTATCAATAGAAAAAAATAACAACACAAATCACACTGAAGCAATTAAGAAGACCAGGCAGGATAAGGGCTTGAAGACATCCACAGATATCAAAATACACACACTGGGAAGGATGCCAGAACTCAGATAAGAATGGACAAACTAGAAATATTTTCACGCTTTGCTTCCAGCAACTTTGCCATGCTCAGTTTGTCCTTTTAAACAGTCCTCACAGCTGCAGCTCCTCCCCCGTAGAACATGCCATTCACGTTTCTCCCTTATCCGTTCCTCCCTGCATGCCCTAGGATGGGGCGGGGATGGGCCTGGGTCTTCCTCTGAGGGCCCAGCCAGCCTGTGCCCTTCCCCAGCCTCCTGTACAACCTCCGGAGCCACACTCCCACTCCCTTGTCGGCTGTTCCTCCTCTCCCTCAGAGTCAGATTCTAACAGGGGCATGACAGGGTCAGTCTGGTTTCTAAGGGACGCCATCCCATCATACAGGGGCTGCCAACGGGTGTAGAAAGGAAAGGAGCCTTGCCTGCGCTTAGGCCCGTAGGTGGGAAAGGGCACTGTGTCCGTGGGCGGCGTTCTTGCCAGGTGGCCTCCAGGGGCACAGAGTGGCTGTTACAGGTGGACAATACAGATTGACCATCTGACTGGCTGTGTCTGAAGGCAGAAGATGACAAAGCAGCGAGCCCTAAGACGGTGGCGGTGGAGGCTCCAACCCTGGAGCTGCATCCAAAACCTTTGGCCGCAATCCAAGAAGCCTGACTCCTGCCAGGCCTTGGTGTGTGGTGCATATAGTCACTTAGTCACAGGCACAGAGGCATCCCTGACAGAAGGAGTCTTTGATGCTGTCACATTAGCTCCTTTTTGTTTTGTAGTGTGCCAGCAAAGTGAATGGGGGTCTGCATGGGAGCACCAAAGACTATCCGGACGAGGCCATCCGCTTCGCTCGAGGCCACCCACTGATGTACCAGACTGTCCGTCCGGTGCACAAGAGGCCAATTCTGGTGAAGACAGACGGAAAGTACGGCCTCAAACAAATAGCCGTGGACAGAGTGGAAGCCGAAGATGGCCAATACGATGTCTTATTTATCGGAACAGGTCAGAGGGAAAGCGGGTGACTTAAATTTCCCTCTCCATCCAGAGTGTCGGGCTGGTTCCATTTGCAACCTACCTGCCCTCTAACCCCTCCGGGCTGCCCCTTCATGCCCAAGGCCGGCCCCTAGCTCCTTACGGCTAGCCAGGGATTTCTTCTTCCCGCTCTCCTCTGTCCCAAGTGCCGCACCTCGCAAGGGGAGCGGAGGCATCTTGACTTGAGGCCTGGCGGGCAGGGAGGTCGACGTTCTTTCAGTCTTTGGAGAATCGTGTGACACCGCCCTTTCCACCTCCCACCGTGGACCCTCCTTTTCTCCCCTTCTCGCCCCTCACCCTATTTCCCCCCGAGCCATCTGTGCCCCCTTCATTCCTGCACCGCCAGACGGGGCCTCGGTGTTCCAGGCTGGAAGAAGAGAAGTCCCGGGGGGGGGGGGGGGGGGGGGGGCTGCTGTTGGTCAGGAGCCTCCTAAATGATGATTGCTTCAGCTTAGCGTGTCCCTGGGAAGCCTCTGGGCAGGTTCAAGGGAGGCTCTCTGTGTTTTACTCTCCGTGGCTTCTGGAGCTCCCCCCTTGCAGCAAAAGAGCGCCCCGAGAGCAGTCCGGTGGCCCAAAGGACAGGTGCTTGGGATGTCCCAGTGGGCTAGTAGGAAGGGGTGCATTAGAGCTGGAATCCACGGAGCATGAAGGTCTGCAAGACTTCCGTGTCAATTCAGAGGACAGGAATCACCCTTTCCCCTCCTACCCAAGGAAGGGTCTTACTCCAGGGTGGGTGCCGACGGCTGGCCTGCTCTGCCAAAAGCTGTTTACTCTGTCGGAAGGTCTCAAAAGATGGTTGCCAATTTGGGGCTGTAATTTTCCTCCATTTTTTTTTTAATCTCATAACACGATGATTACGTTTGCATGTCCACTCTGCCAGAAATCACATGGGGTCAACTTAGGCTAAGATCGTCTTCTTCCTCCTGGGAAGTTCTAGCAAATCTGTGATAATTAAGCTAGTTTAGACTGCTATATGGTTTGGAGAAATGGAGGCAGGGAAAGGCTGCTCCCCTTTGGGACTGTAAGCAAATGAATCTGCAGAGGGAATAATTTCTCTTTCTGGTGCTTGTTATTGGGCGTAATACTGCATTCAACTATGAATGAGTGGGGAGGCGGCCAGGACCCCTCTGCTTTCCAGTGGGCCAAGGAAAAGGAGGAAGCGTGCAAAAAGGCTTCTGCGGCCACCTTGAGCTGCTGCTGCTGTCGGGATGAAAGATAATGAAGGGGCCCCTCCCTCCAGCCAGGAAACCTCGGGGGCTTCGTGGAAGGAGGAGGTTGCCCTCTTAGTCAACTCTGGAGGGCAACACAACTGCTGCTGCCGCTGCTGCTGCTGCTGCTGTGGTCCTTGTTTGGCTCCTTCCCCCCCAGCCCTGCCCCACCCCAAAGCTGGCTCCTTGCAGAGGAAACCCAGCTTTCTGCAACCACAGAAGAAGGGACAAAATGTAACTTAAACGCTGCTGCTCAGCCCTTGGGTGCTCAGTGAGCCCACTTGGCCAAGAAGGAATGTAGCCGCCTTCTACCCGCTTCCATTCTGTTGTTGTTAAACTTCGAACATTTGAAATTGTCTAGATCTGGTTCCTTTTTCTGATGATTTGAATTTATAGACACTTGTTTTTGAATGACTTGCAGATTTAAATTTTGGCGTGTTAGTTTCAAACAGTTTTATCTTAAATGATTGACAGGTGTGTCTGTGTATTTTTGTTTAGCAATCCCTAGTTACCTGATAGACTTCCTTTCCTTTTCACCTACAGATAATGGGATTGTCTTGAAAGTGATCACAATTTACAACCAAGACACGGAATCTATGGAGGAAGTGATTCTTGAAGAGCTGCAGGTGTTCAAAGTAAGTGAGCCTTCCACCGACCGCTGGGTGCTAACCCCGGCCTCCCCACGGACCCTCCCACCCAGGACACACGTCACACCCATTCTCTTCCTGGATCCACGGGAGGATCCCCACCACATCACCCACAGGTAGACCCCTAGGCAGGGCTGCCCTTGACGACAGCAGGGGCAGTGAGGGGGGGGGCTTGTTTTCACCTGGCCCTGTTGCTTTGTGACCTGCATCGTGAGACAACCTGGCTCCCAGGTGAATTTCCGGCTGCCGGCCACTGCCTTCCAAGCCTTCCAGGGCCTGGCTCCCTGGAGATAGCGTGGCGGGGGAGGAACACGTGCCAATACATGGACTATGGATAAAGCTACTCCGTGCTCACCAGGGAAAGCTTTGGGCGGCCTAAAGAATGGCCGAAAGGCAGGAGGAATCTACCTTTGCAGTAGATTACTAAGCAGTCTTGGCACAAAATGTGCAATTCTTGGATGGACTGATCACCCATAGGTAGCTATCCTGACTGCGTGGATAGCCTCCTCTTTCCTAATTAAGAAAAACTTTTTCACTTTCAGGTGCCATCTCCTATTCTCTTTATGGAAATTTCTTCCAAAAGAGTAAGTGTTGTTCCTTTTTTTCAAGAAAATTATTTCATTCTTAGTGGTATGAACACATCCAGCGTGTAGACATTCAGAGATAATAAAATATTGGTTCTAAATGGTTGTTTTTTCCCCCCGATGGTTCATCAGGATCCCCAGCTCAAGCAGGAGGCACCCACGGCAGCCTTTTTGAACCCTTTGCCTTGCGAGGTGTGAGGTTCCCCTGTGCTATGAGAGCTCCACAGATCCAGGGACTCGTGCCGTGTTTTGGTTTTTCAGGCCAGCCCTTGGCTTCGTGAAGCAGCCAGGCGAACATCCTACAGGTGCAGATTCCCAATACATAGGTCGAGGTACCCCAAAGGCTACCTAAGGCATCTATTCGGGGCATATTATGTCCTAAAACATTATTTTCTATCTTGGTTCATCAAACAGAAATTTCAACCAGCCCATAATCTTCCCACAAAGTGCCTGTCCGTCTCTCTCAGCCCTAGAAAGTACGCAAGGGTAAACCACTTGTGGGAAATCTTGCCAAGAAAACTGTAGGAACTTGTCTAGACAGTTGTAAAAAATCAAGAGTAACTCAGAGGCTCCAAAAGTAAAATCTTAGGAACACCCACCTATTAGTAATAGTGTTGTTACGTATAACTGGTTTATATATCAGTTTAATTCAGTCAAATAATATTCAGTTCGATGCATTTATGTGAAATTGAGGGCTGTTTCTATGTTATCCTTTGGAAGGTCAGATTTGCTGTTTTCTTACCACTGTTGGTTTTCCTTCTGCTCCTGCAGTGCAACAAAATGTACCATATAAAATGAATTTTCAGGGAGTGGTCTAGAATGTTAAATATTAATGTATAGTTTTGCTCTGCTTTCCAGAGAAGCGTTCAGATATATGCTTGCCTCTCTCCTTGTGTGTCGTCGTGTGAGTGCGTACACACACAGTAGGTGCATGTGTGGCTGTGTATATATATATATATATTGCTCGATACATGCTGTGTCAAATTTCCTTCAACCGTTACGTAACCAATCCCCTTTTCCTGATTCATAAAATGTGAAATGAGATCTTGATAAATAAAGCATGGTTCTTGAAGGCATTTTAAGCGATTTAATACCAAATTCAGTTGATACTCTGATTTTTGTCTCCCTGAGCAGTGAAGACATAGGTGAACACTTCATTCCCCTGGCAATATACCATTTGCCCCGCACAGAAATAACACCAGGTCAACCTTGTTTAGCAAATTTTGTGCAAAATTTTACAATAATTTATCTTTCGTCGTGTCACATCAAGTCAGAAAGTGCCATAAAAGAGGTTTTAATTCGTTGTAAGCTGCAATCAATCTGCAGCTTCATCATAGAAGCAGGAAGTTGGTGAAGAGAGACCCCGGGTCTCCCGTCCTACGACACAGAGGCCACGGAAGGAAGTTCCCCTCGGAGGCCAGGCTGCCAGGGAGGGGGAAGTGCAAGAAGTGGGGGCCGCCTCCCTCTTCCTCCGCTTCCGAGCTGAGGGGAGGCTCGGGGGGGTGGGGGTGGGGGCAGTGCTTCTCCCAAACCAAACTGGGTCACGTTCCATCAACCCTAACACTCAGTGTCTTGGCCCTTCCTTTGGAAGCCATGGATCGTCACCGCAAAGGAGACACCGCCTTCACCGGAGTTGTGCTAAAGAGGGTTGTGCTTTCCTTGCAGCAACAGATCTACGTGGGGTCCGACTCTGCCGTCGCACAGGTGAAGTTCCACCAGTGTGACATGTATGGCTCGGCCTGCGCCGACTGCTGCCTGGCGAGAGATCCCTACTGTGCCTGGGATGGGATGTCCTGCTCCAGATACTACCCAACAGGAACACAGGCCAAAAGGTAAGGATCCGACGCTGCCTTCAGGACCGCCAGTCTCTCCCTTCCTCGGGGCTGTCCTGGATTGACCGGTGGGCGTGAGCTGGGCAACCCTCTAGGGACACACTCTCTCTGGTCATGGAATGGGTGCACCCTGGGGATTGAATTCACCCGTTTTCCAAATTCACAGCACGTGGAAGCCTCCCTTAGCCACATTTGCACCAATTGATAAACCATAAAAACCCGTGATTCCATTTCACTCCCTGCTGCAAATAGAGACGAAGAGTCTCTTTTTCAGAAATGTCCTTTTTCTTTTAGAAAGGGACACTGGATGAATGGCGGAGCTCTTGGCTCTCTTAGCTTTGTTTTAAAGGCTTCAAGCGGTAGGAAAGAGGAAGCTTTTCAGGAGCCCTTATGAACCGTGTTTGAAGGAGGGAGGGGGAAAGAGTCACGCGGGTGTTGTGCATTGATTCCCTTGAGTTGATATCGGCAGTGGAGCATGGGATACCTTGGACTGGAGAAGAAAGCAAAGCAAAGGCAGTTTCTCTTTCAGAGGCTGCAGCATCTCTGCCGTAAAGCGGATAAAATCTGGGCGGCTTTTCCACCCATCTTACTTCACTCCACCTCCACGGGTGGCCTGGCGGGGGGGAGAGAGGAGCCTCTGCTTCCCCCGGGCCTTGCAGGAGGGGATGTCACGGCTGTCCGGTCGGGGGCAGCCCACCCACTCCCTTGAGCCAAGCCCCCACTCACCCCTGGCCGCCCGGTGTCAACAGGAGCTGCTCTTCCGCCTTGAGACCAGGAGCCTGAGCCAGGCCTCCCTTCAGCAGACAGGCATGCAAGGCTGGAGTTGCTGGGCGTCCGACAGGACAAACATGGGACAGAGGCCCTGCTGTGGCCTGCGCATGGGGAACATTTGACTGTGTTGCACCCCGATAACCCCCGATATGTCCAATCCCCCCCCCGCCTCTTGGAGCGAGGCTTCCGTCATCCCCTCTCCCAGGAGGCCCCTCTCGGGAGGCCGCTTCCCTCCTGCTGGCCTTGGGAGCTTCTCTTGCCTGATTGAGGCCTCTGCCTTTTGCCGTCACAACTGGGAGCTTTCAGCTGTTTGCAAATTGTTTTTCATTTTGCTCAGACGCTTCCGTAGACAGGATGTCCGTCACGGAAATGCCGCTCAGCAGTGCTTCGGCCAGCAAGGTAATGGCTACTCTTCTGGGGCTAAGGAGAAAGTGGGGGAGGGTTGTGGGGATGGGGGTTTGTAATGGGCCGAGGGCAGCCCCAGGTCGCATCAGCAGAGGGAGGGATCAGTGTCCTGTTTTGGGCACTTTGGAGGGGGACCGTAGAACTGCCTACAATCGTTGGGCTACATTTCCTACTTTGGGTTCCAATTTCAGGCAGGGAAAACCAAGGCCTGGCCTTAACATTGCTGCCTGAAGGAGCTCGACAGACTGTAACCTGGCTTGCCCCAACTCAGACGTTATGTGTGTGGTGGTGGGGGGGGATTTTCTGTTAATTCTGTGGTAGGAGATAAGCATGTAGGCAAAGTAGCTGTGCGGATGGCCTCACTGTTTATATATTTTTAAAAACCCATATATAGAATGCTTTCTATATTGTTGGCCATCCCACCACCAGACTGTACATGGAAGGTCCTCCGTGTGCATTTGTTATGTGCTCCCTGAGAAAGGAGACGTTCTCTTTGCCAACTCAAAGCAGAGATCAGTGGTGCCCCCTTCGCCGTTGGTGCAAGTGGCCCCGGGCGCTGATGGGTGTCTCCTCCGGTCCACAGGGGACGCCTCGGGCAAGGTGGAGGAGCGGCTGGTGTACGGCATCGAGCACAACAGCACCCTCCTGGAGTGCATCCCCAGGACTCTGCAAGCCCAGGTGATCTGGCTTGTGCAGAGAGCTCATGAGGCCCGGAAGGAAGAGGTACTGGCAGTTGCCTGCTTTCGTGGCTGTGCAGGCCACCTGGTGTCCAAGGGGAATGTGCATCTCGGGGGGGCAGGGGCACAAGATGCAGGAGCGCCGGTGGGCAGGCCTCTCCCTGAGGGATCCTGCTGGGAGATTCAGCAGCTTCAGGTGTTCCTGACAGGTGCTGCTCCTGGGCTCTTGCTCTGAAACAATCTCTGCCACACCCCTCACTCCTCACCACGTCCAGGTTCAGCTCAGAAAGTCACACGCACACATCAAGCACTGCTTCTATTTCACGAAATACGGTTAGGAAAGAAGCATTGTGTGCGTTCCATTAGTCCCACTGAGTTTGTGATTACGCCTTTCACACTTCCACTAATCTTCCTCCCCAAATAGTCTTAGCATCGTTCAACATAGCTAAACAGCAACATGTGCATGAAGCATTCTGAGTGGAAGGCATTCAAGTCCCTCATCCTTTCTGGAGACTCTCAGGCCTGCTTTGATCTCATCTACTTTAAACCAGGAGGCCAAATTCTTTCTTTTTTTCTCCCCATGTTGAGAGCAACTTCTAGACCAAAAGGGTATTCAGAAAAAAAAATCTACCAATAAATCAGTAAAACTAGTGATGCCTTCAAAAACTTAACTTTGGGGTACATTGTGCTTCAAGTTATTTGAATTTAACATCCCTGAATTTTGTTCAAAATTTTCTATATTTTACTGATACATTTATTAGACTCTTCCTCTAAACCCAATTCAGTTATGCAAGTCTGCAATTACTGGTATATCAAACATGTAAATAAATTTCTCACTTTAATCATTTCCTGCTGGTCCGTCTTAGTTTCATCGATCTGATTTTTAAAAAACCTTCTTATGGATGAAACCGTTTTCTCTTTGACCTGCCCGCAGGTGAAGGCTGATGAAAGGCTCCTTAAAATGGACATTGGCCTGCTGTTTTTAAGGCTGCACCGGACGGATGCCGGAATGTATTTTTGCCAGACGGTGGAACACAGCATCGTTCATACCGTGAGAAAAATCACCCTGGAAGTCGTGGAAGAGGAACGTGTGGATCGCATGTTCAGCAAGGACTATGAGGAGGAGCTGGCTCAGAAAACGCCCTGCCCTGCCCAGAGCAGCCTCTCCCACGGGTCGAAGCCCTGGTACAAGGAGTTCCTGCAACTGATAGGCTACAGCAATTTTCAGAGGGTGGAGGAATATTGTGAAAAAGTGTGGTGCACAGATAAGAAGAGAAAAAAGCTGAAAATGACTCCCTCTAAGTGGAAGTATGCCAATCCACAAGAAAAAAAGGCCCGTATCAAATCAGAGCATTACCGCGTTCCCAGGCACACCCGGATGGGGGACTCCTGATGGGGGGAAGCCATAATATCATGTGGCCCCTGCCCCCCACACACACACAATAAATCCATGCAGGAGGCTCTTTGTGGTGTTTGGACCCAGTGGAAGGGGATGTTGACACTGGAAATGAGCTAAATGCTTTTAGAAAGTTACATACTTAATGTCTATTTAGATGCATTTTTTTTAAAAAAAACTACTTAATTGTTGAATTTTAATTGTATCATTATGAATCAAGCTTCAATTGAAAGACAACCTGACAATCTTCATATTCGGCATTTAGTCCAATTAATCATGGACATGCTTGCACTGTATATTTTAGCGTATTTGGGGGTATTTAAGTGAGTTCAGAATGCTGATGTTTTGATAAGCAAAGCAACAGTAAATTGTATCGGGGGGAGGTTAATTTCAAACATAGCTATAATTGATTTTCCTGTGGCCTATCCTAAGGCCTCGTTCTAAATTCTAGAAATTTTATACTTTTCCCTCCTGAAGAGCATGCTTCCAATTCTTGCTTGGTTTGCATCCATGAGGGCATGGGAGGAGGAAGGTAATCATAAATAAAAGCTGAAAGACAAAGGAAAAGCAAAACTATCTGAGCCGTGGAGCATATCTGTAGAAGCAATGAGAAGGCGTCTTCGCTGCTGCACTGAACACCTTAGCAGACGCAAAACGTGACTGTGAAATCTTCCTGACCTGAGCCCAGCTGTTTCATGGATGGCTTCCGGGGCCTTGTACCAAGAAGGAGAAGGGATGGTCCCAGGTTCCTCCTGGGAAGATCATTTCATATAACTATAAGGAGACAGGCCCACAGAACAGGACGTCAAGTTAGGCCCCTCCTCGTCCCTTCGAAGTCTGCTCTGGCCCTGAAGTCCTTCCTGGCATCCATGGAGCAACGTTGCCATGAGCAGGGTGCCTGGGAGGAGGGTTCGTGTGGGGAAAAGGTTAGCCAGCGTCTGCCGTGTTGATTGCCGTGTCCGATATATTTCCATCTGCTTCTCAACTACAGCCAAGGGGCATCTTTCTTTTAAAAGGCTGAGATCAGCGCCTGCACTGGGAGGGAAGGGCCCGCTATTTAAAAAAATAACCCACCTCGCAGCAAAGAAGGCCCCCAGCACACACACACCCCGCACCCTCTTCAGGCTCCGGGCCGTGGGAACCCCTGAACTGGAGGTTGGATTCGGATGAAGGGACTCTCCAAACCTCACTACCAAGTCTCGTCAAATCTGGTATCTGAAGAGCTGGCTCCTAACCAGTGCAGTGATTTAGAAATACTTTTTCTCAAATTCGTTGGATTGGGGTGTCAATATTTTAAACTGAATTGACTGTTTTAATGAAGTGATATTCCTAAATATCCGTAGAAGCTAAAAGCAGGCAGGGCCGCACTAAGGATGGACCCTCTCCAGCCTTTGCTCAGGGGCTTCCCCAATGCCTGGAGGTTGTGGGCAAGTGCCTGGATGCAACTCAACCCCTGGCAAGACCAGAGGGCGGGGGGGGGGGGTTTCTGGGTCTTCACTTCCTCTCCAGGGCCAGGAGGAGAGAGGGCAGCTCTGACTCTGGACAGGGTAGCATCCCCCCCGCCCCCCAAGGCAGAGCTGTTGCTTCCCTTTGAGGCCCTCCTGGGCTTGCAGCTCCTGCAGGGAGAGGGGGGGACATCCATTGGGGGGTGGGGGGGCTCTTTGCACAAATCCACCTCGGGCACCAGTTCCTGGGTACGGGGGGGTGGGGTTCTCAGCCACTCCCTGGCTGTGCTGCTGCCACTTGCTCTGTGTGGGGCCACCCTTGAAAACCACCCAGCAGCCGCCATCGCTCAGAATGCGGTGGGGGCAGTTCTGGCTGCTCCATAGTTCAATCATGTTACGCGGCTGTGGCACAGGTTGCCTTCTAGTTGCAATTCAAGGGGCCGATTGTTTGTGCTCTCCTTACGGGTATCTGCCCATCCCACTCATTAGGCAGGGTGGGCCAGGTCCTTCCCCTCCGATGTTGCCACCTGGTGGGACGTCAAATGGGGGCCTTCTCTGCAGCCACCACCCCCCCAGTGTCTTTGGAATAAACTCTCTCCTGAGCTTTAGGGGGTCCCAGAAGACAGTGGAGGGTCCCCTCCAGCCCTGGGCTGGAAGAGGGCTGAGTCAGGAGTTAACAAGGGGGAGGGTTCTGGCATGTGGATGGGAAGGGAGCGGTGGGTTCTTACAGCTGTTATTTTTATTGGTTGCTGTGATCACCGTGTGAGATAGGATGCCATAAAAGTTCTTTAAAAGAATAAAACAAAAATAAAGCTACAGAATTGATCATATTCATAGTCAAACAGCACTTTTCATTTCAGAATACAGAGTTGCTACAGAAAACTTGGTGCCTTCAAAATACGGTGCCCACAACTAACATATTTTATACAAAAAACAGGGCGATTTTCTTGGCTTTCTGATTTTCTTGGCTTTCTGCGGAACTGATCACTTTTAGTATATCAGTTGGTTTACATTCATATTTAATCCCTGCTTCTTTTTGACTAATTAGCTGAAAGAAAACTAAACGGGTAAGAGGAGAGTACTAGTAGCTCAGGTTTGAAACGAGGGATCCTTGGTTCTCTCTGAGCCGGGTGGTTTCCTGGCAGACCTTTCATGCCCCAACTAGGGAACATCGTCAGTGCCGGTAGGGAGTGGCGTTCTCTCTCTGTTCTGAGGGCTCGTCTTGTCAGTGTTGGTGGCCCTGCCCGGTGGTGTTTTTTCAGGTTTCCTTGGGTGGTGAACCTGGTACATCGGCAGCGTTTCATGAGGGTTGTGATGGGAGAAACACTCATTGGACAAGCCCCCATTTATTCAGCTGAACTGAAATTGTTCGTGAGTGACCTAAGGACAGAGAATGAAAAGGAAAGGACATTATTTGACAGTTAATGTAGCTTTCCTGGTGAAAGTAATAGCAATAGATTATGGTGCAGTTATGCAGATCTCTTGCATTTTGTGGCCATTTGGCCTCATGGTGCAGCTTTAATTTTTCACTCCTGCGCCACCATCTTGGTTTATACAGACATCCAGCTCCAAAGAACTATAAAGTCGGGATTGTAAAATTAGTTTTCTGAAACACACTTTTTTTCAAGTGTTTTGTTAAAATAAATTGCACAAAATGATAAACACGTTTGTTCTTTACAACTCTCATTTTCTGGGAATTCTGGAATACTAACCTCAGAACCTCTTTATGTGTACATAATTTCATATTACTTTAAATGTAGCGATGAAGCATCTAGCTGATGGAATCATCACAATACAAATTTAAAATACATTATTTTAAGAAAGAACTTGCATTTATAAACTTGGTTTCAAACTAGTAGTTATTGAAACAGGTATTTTAATAAAAGTGTAATGCAGAACCAGAATAGAATGGAATTACAAAGAAAGCCAAGAAAATTGCAGTTTTTTCCTTGGGAAATGTTGCCATTCTCAGATCTGTGTTATAACAATCAGACACTGTTGCTAGTATTTCATTATACATATATATACATATACATATATGGATCTTTGGTTGTTCGGGTTTTCTCCCGCGTAAGATTCGAAGTATCTAGGCAACGTTTCGATGAAGTCTCATTCATCATCTTCAGGCTTCTGTCTCCGGCTCTGTGCTTCTCAGAGTAATGTGAGAT